GTCGCTGTGCCATCTGGTCGTGGCCGCGTCGTACCTGGTCGGCTGCTTGTCCGGCGGCCGCGTCGCGTGCACCGGCCGCGGCCTGATCGTGCGGGGCGCGCGCCACCACCCTCGGTGCGCCGCGCTGTTCGTGGCCACGTACTTCTTCGGCACCGCGTCCGCCGTCTGGTGGATCTTGCTGTCGCTCGCCTGGTTTCTGGCCGCCGGGCTCAAATGGGGCCGCGAGGCCATCGACGCCAAAACGCGTTATTTCCATTTAGCCGCGTGGACCGTGTCGGCCGCGCAGACCGTCGGGGCGCTGGTTCTGGGCGAGATCGAGGGCAAGTGTTCTCTCACGATATTAATGCCGCAATATGCTGCGAATCTACATTGTCGCTTACGAGTCGAAATATAACGTACATTTATTTTTGTTTTCCGCAAAATCACACTAAAGACATTTCAATGATAACTACGATAAACGAATTACGGTTTCTCGTCGAAACGTTGAAAACGAAAGACGAATAAAAATGATAAAACTATGAACCAAACAAGGTTTGGGAGAACATTTAATATGAGCGGTACAAGGTTATTAAAATTCGTTCATCCGATTTCAAATATTCGTATATTTTTGTAGGTTTAGAACAATATGCTACACATTAAATTAAAGAAAAGGTAACTGATTACTAACGAGTGAAACTAAATTAGCTCCAGTACTTTTTGAAACAATCATTTTTGTTCGATTCGGTTTACTATTAATTATTCGATAAATTCGATGGTGTTCGGGAATAACATACCTAATCAAAAGTTTGGAATTTTCAGTATTCAAAAATTAAAATTCAATCGCAAATAAATAATAGGATAACTTTTATTTTTATTTATAACATAGACACATATTTCGAATTAACTTTGAAAACAATACATTACTTTATAATAAAAAATGTAATTATAAGTTATAAATTGGGAATGTTTGACTTTGCATGTTCATTTCGAGTGCTATCGATGTATATCCATCATATAGTCGACATATTTAACGAGACAAAACTTCTAAATTTAAATTATAAAACTACCACGTATTAATTGGTTTCTAAATTTCTAATGCAGTCTTTATTATATTTTGATATGCATCGGTTTTTGGTTCTTGAAATGAACTATACATGATTATGATCGTCCGTTGTAATATGATTGCTATTATTTTTGCTAATCCAACATATTAATTAATTGAATTATTAATTTGCATAAAAATTATTTATAATGATTAATTAATTAGTTAGAGCAAATCATAAGCGTCTTTTATTAGTATTAATCGTGGATATTTTGGATATTTTAGTATTTAAGTAAAGCAGATGTTACTCTATAAAAACAATACAATTAATCTCTTATAAAATGTTATTATTTAAAAGATTTTAAAATATTATTTAAAATTTTGAAAATAAACCAAAACATTCAAATTGCATGTTAAGTCTCAACTAACAGAAAGACAAAACTTGAGGTCCGTAGATGTAAAAAAGAACAATGGTTTTTTGATACTGATTAGATAAAAAAGAGAAAATGTTTATTCTATATAATATTAAGAATAAAACTAGGTGATAAAGAAAAAATACAATAGAAACAATTCCTTTGTATAATGGTATCTGAACAATATAATTACAATAATCTTTCGTCCCCAGACGGCAGTAGGGACGAACTCTTCGCAATGGCGTTTATTTATACGTCTGAGAATAATATTGTATTTTTTCTTTTTATTTTGCATTACACGTATTGTATACGATTATCTCAATGATTATGTGTACCTACCTATATATATATTCAATTCGGTGGAGTACGATTGCGCGTGTTTTACCTTTTCGGTCATACGATTGCGCGTGGTGCCGGAATAATAATATACATGATTTTGACCCTTCAAAAGCGTACGTCCGCGCGTGAAATTGGAAGCGACGTTGCTAAATGTCTATTACAATTATTATACATAAACTATGATAATTATTTTTAATGCAATGCATTTCTAACAATTTATTTACTATAATTTAATTAAGATAGCTATTTAAATTGAATATTTTATAAATTTTTAATTAAACATTTTCAAAAAAACTTGACGAAGTGTGGCGAATTTAATTTGTATGTGAAATATATGATTTATTTACGCAATGAGGTCATAGGTTCACGTATAAAGCATAATCCCATCTGAACTAGTATCGAGGTTTGTTCAAAAACTAGGTTAGACTGTAAGTCTCTTTGAGGACGAAGATCCATCACCACGAAAAGTGGCACTCAAGTTTGAGAGCAGAGCCAGCAACCGTAGCGAGCGAAGTCTTTAAGTTTCGTTTTTCCGAAAAAAAAAGAAATGCAAAAAACAGTCGATAAATGTGTTTGGTAACGTTGCTCGAAGTTAAGGTTTTGCAACACGTGCAATCATATGCCTAAAAATGTACCGCCGATAAGGACCGCACGCGCGATCGTATGATACCCGTTCAATTCCACCGTTGTGCCCGTGAATAGGTGACGTTTTGTCCGGCGTCTGTTCGGTGGCCGTCTGGAGCGAAGACACCGTCGCGAGAGACATGGTGCTGATCCCTCGAACGATTTACCTGGTCGCGGGCGTCGCATTTTGGACGGTCGGCTTCGTGTCCCTGTTCCGGATCAGAAACGTGATGGGACGAGATGGCGCACGCGGCGCGGACGGGTTGGAAAAGTACATGGTGCGCATCGGCATCGTCAACGTGCTGTACGTGGTGCCCGCCGCCGTTCACATCTTGTGCTTGGTCTACGAGCACGTCAACGTCGGCACCTGGACCGCCTGTCGGCATTCGAACCACGCGCCGGAATGCCCGTCCACCGAAATCCACGGCCCGGGCGCGAGCCCTAACCTCGAGGTGTTCATAGCTAAATATATCGTTTCATTACAAGTCGGTGTCACGTCATGCGTTTGGACGTGTTCCGGTAAAACTTTGAATAATTGGCAACGGCTCTTGGCACGCGTTCCGCGTAACCCGGTCGAATCCGAAACCCGTGTTTGATTCCAATTCGATTCCGGATCGTCGGCGTCTGAATAATTGTGTGTGTGTCATTTTGTTTTCTCTTCGATTGCGATTTATCGTGGCGACCCGATGAATTCCTTTTTTTCCATTCCATTGCAATCGATCAGTATCAACGTGTTAGTGTTAAAATGCAATACCAAAAAACACGCTTATTGCGTGACCATTATCGGCATTGCCAAGTTCATGAACACTACGGTTTTTTATCGCAAATAAATGTTAGTTATTACAACTGGTTTTAAAATAATATTTAAAAAATAATTTGAAATTCTACCGGGTTACTTACATAATATTATTAAGTATTAATAGTTCTGCTAAGTTATATTGTATCACCTATTAGTAGTTGTTTTGTAATTGTATTATTATTCTTACCAAACTCCGTTGTTACTGGAAAAACAATTTTATCATAATATTATATTTTAACTCTACCTAATACAATAGGTACGTTATCATATTCATATATCATATTCGTAATATTTTTATGTGATCATTGCAGTTATTGTCCATATATTTATGTGTTTTATAATATTAAATGATAGAAGTAAAACACATGTCCATTAATTAAAATTGAGCAGTTTTTCATTAATTATTCATAATAATTTATCATTATTGATGTGAAATTTTTCAATTATTAATATTTAAAAGTATTTACCTATTCAAATGTATCGAAAACGTTTTGTAAATATTAGAGCAGACTCCTAGGACTAATTTATCTCGCTTCCTGTCAAAAATCACCAGAATACAACTAATGAAATAATAAAAAATATAAATTTATCGTTTACCGAAGAAAAAAAAATAGTATAGGAAAACGAAAAACATGTTACGTAATATTACGGAAGAAATTGGTTTTAAAATATTAATATAAAAGATATAGCTGACATGCCTTTCGCAAGGAATTGTATGTATAATTTACATGTTTATTATATTTCTATTCCACTGTAATCACATCATTTACTTCCACACTAACACTCCGCAATGCAAACATAACACAACACTGTTGTGACACATAACCCCTTAATAAATTATCGTTTTCAATCCCCTGCTTGCACTACTATGAATAATATGTTGTATATTATACATTTATAACTGTCATAATTTATACACAAAGCTAATATTAATATGACAATATTGCAATTCCAAAACTTAATTAAATTTTGTTTGTTATATTAATGTGAATGCATATATAAATTACATTAAAAAACATGTTTAAAACATATTTACAGTTTTGTTATGGCTGTCATTATATTTGCTAAATTTAAGTATACCTAGTATAATAGCATAGTTGTTATCTCGTTATATTATTATTTTTCATTCAAAATCGAAATATTTTTCTATTTGTAATTTTTTGTACCGTCAATGTTGATATTTTTCTTTCGTCAACCCATATTACGTGTAGTAAATTCTAGAAAACTTTAACATTTATATTCGCTATTAGTAGGTACATTACTTGGATATGAAACTTTATCATTATTATTGTGTGTATTTGGAAATAAAATACCTTGGATCCTCCCTTTCTCATCTGTTTTTCACCATCTATCGAGAACAGACCGCACATTATATTACGATATTATGTTTAATAATCTCAATTTATAAGTTACATTTTATTATTTATTATCAATTTTAATACATTTAATAAATACATAGTATAGTGGCACTTTATATGTACACTAAAAACACACTTTTTTTCACAAGTGTGTATGATAACTTTAAAACCATTTTATTTTATATTGATTTTAGTATGAAAAAAGCTTTTGTATTATTAAATGCATATATTAGACATATAAATTTATTTTAATGTCCATTGCAGAGTATAATTAATAATTAAAAAAAAGTAATCATTATAAAATACAGTACAATTTAAATTTAATTGAATTCATATGGAGTATTAGAAAATTTTTGTTTTTGAAAATATTTTTTTTTTCATTTATTATTGTGTGTCTCAGCACATTATTTGCTATTACAATTACAATGAAATTTGTTTTTTTTTTACATTTACATAAATTAATTAAAATGATAAATTTATAAATGTATTGTTCATCTTCTGATGAGAGTTCCTTAGTATCCAAAATATTTATAAAGTAAATGTAAATATTGATTAAACTAGTCTGGACAAACAACAAATGTGCATTACTGCAAACATTTTATAACTGTTTATAATTTTTTGAAAGAAGAAAATACTAAAAATCAAACACAAATTATACTCTCGATGCAATTTAGATTAGATGCCTTTTATCCTATATGTACAAATATTATTTATTATTATACTTCTCGTCTACTGTTTAGTAATAATAATTCGTTATTATCTATAAATTAAAATTAAAAAACGATTCTGAACGATGTTCAGCTTACTTTAAATAATAATGGTTGTAGAACACTTTAAGAAATTTGCAAGCACGACGAAAAATAATTTATAGCTTAAGATTTTCAAAATGTATAAAATTATGGCATGAATGTATATAATATGAAATATGATACTAAAATTATTCAAATTTTATGTTTGACTTTAAATGATCGTGTATAAGAATGAAAGAGCTCTACTTCCAAACGTATAATAATATTTAAATTAAGTATTGAAATTTAAGCCTCGAGTGATTCGCTTTCATTTACATGAAATTAAATAACAGTACTAATGAATTAATAAGATATATGAAAATTAAAAAGCGTAAAATTAATTATAAATAAACATTTGAGTATAATTTATTAGGTATAATATAATATATAATACTATATAAATTATTATTGTATTTTATAATGACCGTAATTTATGGAATTACTAATTTTGATGTAATCAATACTTTAAGCTTAGATTAGGGTCTTAATTCTCATTAATTCTCGGTCCATGAATATACATTATAACTACAAATTATGGATTTCCCTGATGGTCAAATAAAAATAATTTTTGTTTTAAATTATTGTTTATCTTTGACAAAAAAAAAAAATAAAATGAACTTTCAGAAGAATATAAGATAACATTTTCACGCTAAAATTAATATTAAAATTTGACAGCAGTGTACTCATATATTGTATTTTTGCAAATATTATTTTAAGTTATTTTTTTCAATGCAGTAAAATGTAAAAATTCTTATGCCATTTTACACATTTGCGAACACCTTGAATGTTTTATAATTTGTACATTTAATACCGTGTTTAAGTACTTTATGAATCAATAATTTCAATTTACTTTGAAACAAAATATTTATTTGTACAATATAATATAAGCGTATTGATATAATAGTGGTAAAATTATATTTGGTCCACTCTGTATTATTTTCTAATGTGTAAAAATGTTATGTTAAAAGATAAACATCACTTTAATATTATACAATTGGTTTGTATACTAAATCGGTTAGATTGGATCAATATTTGTGCCAATGACCATTGTTTATGTAATGATAAGTCGTCTGTGAATTTTATTGATGCTTTTTTTCAACTGAAAACATATTGTTATGGGAAAGTTATATAAATAACAAATTTATATAAGTTATCGTCGTATTTTGTGCTTTAAATTATAACCGAATAAAGTACAAGACTCCTTTGGGAAAGTGTCTACAAATTGAATTAATGTAAACATATATAGTAAGGTGCACTTAATTTTGCATAACGGTTCGTGAAGAAAATATTTAACTTAACGTCAAACTATACGAATTTTGTTAATTTATCTTTATTTTTACTTATAAAGTTTTACCTAAAATATTATATAGGTTATATAAAGATACTTGATGTTTTAATTTAATGTTCTTATTGATGTCTTATAATTTTCAATTTTGCAACAAAAAACATTTTCTGAGTTCTAAATGCGCTAGAATTTAATAATTTGTTAACAAACCCACTACGGAACAAATATATTTTATACTTGGAGAAAAAAATGATTATGCTTTATACACTGAAAGTGATAATATGAAAATTAAAGTTTATATAAACTAACTTGTAAAAAAAGCATTATTTACATTTTTAAAACTTTCATAAGAAATATTATTATTTAAGAAAACATCCAATTAAGCTTATTAAATCACGTACATTTATTATATTACTTTATTACACTTACAATACATACGGGGAAAAGACAAAAAAATGTATTAGAGTTCATATTACATAATATTTTATTTTACTTTACAGTGTTGTAAAGTAAAAACAGTAATAATAGTAGTGTTATTATTGATACGATTGGGGCTATTCATCTTCCGGACCTTTTTGTTTTCGGATATATAAATAAATGACAGGTGGTTAGTGAGAAGAACTCAGAATTGAAATGATATGAAATTTTATCCTCTCGCTTATGGTTCAGTGAAGGGAAAAATAAGCTTTTCCACTCAGTGTAGATGTCTTAATCCAACACTATATATGATCTACAATAGGTAGTATACGTACCATAAAATATATAAAAACGAGATTGACGAGGCATATAACACTCGACGGCGGTGTTTAAGGGTACTATTATTTCTTATCCTCTGGATATTTTTTTTTTATTGATTTTTTTTTTATTACAGACTCCAAATCAATTTAGTTTAATATTTCTTTTTGACCTGGATAAAATAAATACATTCTAAAATACAATTTTCATTTCCATGGCCATCGCTAAAGTGCTATTATGAATATCAATCAAATCTATAATGATTATAGTGTAGACACCATAATTTGATACCTGTATACTTAGTGATGTAACATTCATTATAAATAGGAATCCTTACATTTTCACGTTTTTACAGTAATTAAAGGAATTCGTTTAATCCCTGAGTCTTTTAATATTAAGAGGAACGTGTTCCATATCTAATCTCTGATCTTCATTTATATAATGACAGGGCAGATTATAAGTATAACAATTAAGTGTACGCAATAAATACAATTATTTACTTTTGAATTTTTAATGAAATGGAGATTTAATAATGTCTTCATGTAAATAAGAATTTAAAACAAATTATTTCGTTTTTCAAACCCATTTTTTTCAAGAGAAATAATTAAAAACTCGGTGCATTATATATTTATATTGATTTTGATAACAGAGTTTTTTCTTCGAATGAAACCTAACCTATTCTTTATTCCTAATATTGTATACGAAAAATCATTATTTCAAATATTTCTTCAACTCCATTGAACATTTTCCAGTTTATTTTGTTATTGTCAATAGTATTTTATATCTTATAATATTAGATCGTTATTGATTATACGTGAAAATTATAAATACAATAAATAATATAAATCATAATTTTTAGATTATCCTTTTTAATCAACATTATTTAATAAAGTTGAACACATTATTTAAGTTCTATCATAGTGTATCTGTTGATAATCATCCAGCTATAGCATTTGAGTTGGAAATTTAAATTTTATTGTGAACGTATTCTTAACAAAATTTCTTTTAAATGTAATAAATGTAAAATCGTTTTTTT